GCCTCTGCCTCCCGAGTGCTGGGATTAAAGGCGTGTGCCACCACCACCCTACGAAGAAGAAATTTCTTAACCATATTTCATCTATTCTCAGACACATATTTCCCCCAAATTTTAATAACATTTGAAGTAGAATCTTACAGTTCTTTTCTTGCAATGATGCAACTCTCCCCCCACCCCCTGTTTTTTTCCAGACAAGGTTTCTCTGTGTAACAGTTCTGACTGTCCTAGAATTCACTTCATAGACCAAGCTGGCCTCAAACTCACAAGAGATCTGCCTGCCTTGCCTTACCAGTGCTGGGATTAAAGGCATGGGCTACCACTTCCAGGCTTAATGAAGCAACTCTGAAATGCTACCTTCTCAGCAGTGCCATCAGTTAAGAGAACTTTACTCTGGGGGAAGGGGGTATCTCAGACAGAATGAGGTGCACTGTGTGTCTGGGGGACACTGTGCCCCCTAAGGTTAGTTCTTGGGGGAAGGGCTCTCCTGCCTTTTAGCCCAGGCCCTGCTTTCTGTACAGAGCCCCACTGAAGAAGCTCCAGGCTCAGAAATATGAATGAGCACCACCCACAGACTGGCTAGCATCAGTTCTAGAAGACTCAAATTTGGACATCCCCACCAAAGACGACCAAACTGAAAGCTCTGAGTGTCCACAGGGATGCAACTGTCCACAGGCTGAGGAGTCAGCTTCAACCTCTCTCTTCAAGATGGCTGAGTCCATCAGAAAAAGGAGATTGTTACAGGTCCCTCCAAAGCACCATTCCCCTAAGCCTAGAAGGCGTTCAAATCAGAACAGTCACTAAACCAGCAGTCTATGTGCATCTAGAGTAGTTCTTAACTGTCCTAATGCCACGCCCTTTAACACAGTTCCTCATGCTGTGGTGACCCCCAACCATAAAACTATTTTCGATGCTACTTCATACCTGTAATTTTGCTACTATTGTGAATTCTAATGTAAACATCTGTGTTTTCCAATGGTCTTAGATGACCCTATAAGGGGCTGGGGGTGGGGGTGAGAACCACCCCTCTAGAGGCTGGCATCTGCCTAGCAGTGCAGACAAAGCCAGCTATCATCTTCACATCTCCAAGCAACTGATAGTCAAGCAACTGATTTTGATCAAGTGGCTCACACTTTGGTCCAGGTCCTATCCAGAACAGTGCATGTAGCTCCCAGCTGCCATAACACTTGGCCAGAAAACAGGTGCATCACTTTCTTCCTCAGTGAAGAAACAAACCAAAGCACAGTGATGGTTGCCTTCACTATCAACTTGACAGGATTTACATGCCGGACAGCAGAAAAGTTTTCTTCCCTGGCATCCTCAGGGGAGCAGACCTGAGCCTTGAGGAAGGACCCAGGCTTAAGGAAGACTTAACAAACTGAGCAAAAAGAATGTTCCCCACCCTCTACCTTAATGATAAGGTGTGGTCTCAAAGATAGGAGGACTTCCTCAAGAAACCTAAGAAAAGCTCAGTCCACCCAAAGTCACCCAGGCCCGTTTACCTGACAAATGTAGAAAAGGAAGACCTATAGAGACAAAGCCAACTGGGAGGGGCTGGAGAGATGACTCAGTGGTTACATCACTGGCTGCTCTTGCAGAGGAGCCGGGTTCTGTTCCCAGCATCCACGTGACTGCTCACAGCCATCTGCAACTCCAATTCCAAAGGATAAAGACACCCTCTTTTGACTTCCACAGGCACCAGGCACACAAGCGGTACTCAGACAAACATGCAAGCAAAAGATTAATACACATAAAGTAAATACATCTTTAAAAACTTTTAAGGGAGAGAAAGGCAAAGGAGTTCTCCTAGGGATGATAAAATGTTCTCAAATCAGACAGCGTGGTTGTATAATTATACTGAAAACCTCCCACTGGTACTTGCATGGGTGAACTCTGTGTTGTATATGCAAGATGTATCTCAAGAAAACCACTGCTAGAACAGAAAAGAACAAGACAATATTAACCCATCCGCAGAATGGCTAGGTCCTTAGTAATAAAAGGGAATAAGCTATCAAGTCATCACAGATGACTATCAAGCGAGGGAAATCAACAAGCTACATACTCCCAGATTCCATCTATACGACCTTGGAAAAACATGGAGAAAAGGCAAACCAGGGGCTGTAGCAGGCTGTAGGTGGAGTGATGCCTACAAGGGACATAGATAGCTTCTGGGGTGACAGGCTAGTTATGTATCTTGATTTTAGTGATAGTGGCTATATAAATCTGTGATGCCTCACAGAAGAGTAAAGTGACTTTTATTCTTTATAAATCACAGAGGTACACACAACTCCAAAGCACAATAAATCATCTTTTAAGATTTTAGTGACTTTTTTTTTTGGTTCAGGTTTCACATAGCCCTGATAGGCAAATATGATCTCCCTGCCCCCATCTTCCAAGGGCTGGAATGCAGACATGTGTTAAGTCCTTCAACTGTGATATAAAAACAAAGACAAAACCCAAAGGTAACTTACTGCATATACAATATTTTTTAAAACCTCAACACCAACTGTCTTAAGACACTCAGGCCTGGAGTGTAGCTCAGTGGTAGAACATATTGCTTAGTATGTATGAGGCCCTGGGTTCAACTCTTAGCACCCAGGGGAAAAAAATTAAATTTGTGGACCCACCAGTAGTTAAAGGCGGAGGCAACCTAATTGGCTATCAGCAGAGAGGTGGTCAAATATGGAATGGATTATGCAGTCTTCAAAAGGCAGGGATTCCTGACACATACTATAACATGGATGAACTCTGAGAACAGTGTGGTAAGTGAAGCCAGCCAGCCTGACCTAGGGTTACAGTTTGCAAGGTAAAAAAGAGGTGACAGATGCATACCTGCATGCCTGGTCCCCAACATACAATGCTTTGACTCTGTGGTGGTTTGGATGGGAATGGCCCCCATAGGTTCATACATTTGAATGCTTGTCCCATAGTTGGTGGAACTATTTGGGAAGGATTAGGAGGTGTGGCCTTGTTGGAGGCGGTGTGTCACGTGGGGTGGGTTATGAGATTTCAAAAGCCTATGCCACTCCCAGTTAGTGTTCTTTTTCTGCTTCATGGTTGTTGTCTCAACATGTAAGTGCTCAGCAACAGCTCCAGAGCCACGTCTGCCTGCCTGCGGCCATGCTCCATGATGGTCAAGGACTCTGTACCCTTTGGAGCCATAAGCCCCACATATAATGCTTTCTTCTATAAGTTGCCTTGCTCATGGGCATTTTGTCACAGCAATCGGAAAGTAACTAAGAGAGGGCCCTGTTGTTATTGTTTAGAGGTGTGAAAGTATGCTTAAAGAGCCATTCTGTTTTCATGTCAAAAAGTAGTCAACAAAATTAGCCCAGATACTTAGTTCTTTGCTGTATCAGATGGTTTTGCTCAAATACATGCCAATGTAGTATCCTGAGCGTGTTTAAGGTAGGCTAGGCTAAGCTACGATGATAGGTAAGGGATGGATGGATGGCTTAGTAGGAAACTCTTGCTTTCAATGTGGAGAGTTTTTCACATCTTTGATCAATAAATGACTATTTTCTAGACTTACGAAGAACTGCAAACTGGTAATAACACGATGTACGTACGTAGCACATTTGTCAGCCATGCCCATGTGCCTTGTTATTCAGCTCCAATGACTCATGACCAGACTTGTTTTGGGCGATAGGTGAATACTGGCGCTGAGAAGCAGCAAGACAAGGAAGACAAGGAGCCGGAACCACACAACCATCTCTCCCTGCTTTATCACGCCTAGCCACTTCCTTGTGGGAAGAGGCCTCGTAGGACAGAAGTCAACCCTATCTGCCTCTCATGTCCCATGAGGGAAACACACGCAAGCTCCTGAACAGATGGGGACACCTACACACCATTTTGTCACCTATTTCATAATCACCAACAATTAGGAAGCTACAACACAATGGGGTTGGAAGCTCTAACTCGCAGGCCAAACCAACCGCTGTGCCCGTCTGTGGGCTGCCCAACCTAAGAATAGTCATATTCTGAAATCACCACATTTCAAGTGGTTTTACAAGTACCTACTTAGTGGTCTATAGCATATCTCTCAGACACAAGAACTAAATTAGTTGCCTGGCTCTCTGAGTACAGTTCAGCAAGTCCCAATACTGCAAAGGGTAGCGATCGAGAGGACATTCCGGTTCAAGTCCATATCTGTGGTAGCTTCTTGTGCTAGCTGTGCTCTGGCTGTCCTTGGACCAGTATGGCAACTAGACCCTATCTCCCCTCAGGAATGCAGCAAGCTTAGATGCTTAAGGCACAAAGCCAAACCCAAGTATAACGTTCCAGTAA